AAACTGGCTAGGCCAGAACCTACATGTCTCTAAACCAGGGGCTGCTGGTCTTTTATGTGTTTAGACATTTCTGTGGACTTCCAGATGTCAGTGAGAACTTTATCTCCAAGCAACCCTGCCACCTATGGCCACGTGATCTCCCTCCCATTAGGATTACATCACCGGTCTGGTGCTAGCTGCTATGCCACCTGTATTGCATAAAACTCTGCCTCTGTTCTTTCACAGTATTTTTTTTTTCTTTTGAGTTAATACCTAGTAATTTTTCTTTTCTTTTTTTTATTTTATTGATTTTTTTACAGAGAGAGAGGGAGAGAGAGCTAGAAAACGTCGATGAGAGAGAAACATCGACCAGCTGCCCCCTGCACACACACACACACACACACACACACACACACACACCGGGGATGTGCCCTTGCCCGGAATCGAACCCGGGACCCCTCAATCCGCAGACCGATGCTCTTACCACTGAGCCAAACCGGCTTCGGCCCTAGTATTCTTCTTATGCCTAGAATTTTACTAACTCATACCTAATTTCCCCCCAAGGCTCTAACATCTTTGCCACATGCCTATTGACAACATTTTCCAAAGGCTCAGACACATTCTATTTAATCCCTGGAGACCTCTCTGCCAGAGCCCCGGGCCTCCTGTTCCAGTCCAGGCTGATGGCTTCCTAGCCATCCATACTGTCATCTTTCTCTACTCATCCTGCTGGCTCTGCCTCTCCCCAGTGCAGGAGTCCGTTACCTGGAACCTGTGCTGACCCCCTACTTGGTTAGCCCTCTAATAGCTTCCTGGGAAGAGTCCATATCTGAAGTATGTTTATTCTACTCTCACTCTGATTGATCATTTGGCAGGGTATAGAATTCCATGTGGGAAATACTTTTCCTTCAAGATATTTTGAAGTCATAGGTTTTTTGTTTGTTTTTTTTTCTTTCAGCTCCCAGGTGGGCAGTTGAAAACTCCAAAGCCATTCTGATTCCTGGCGATTTGTATGGGATATGTTTGTTCTCTGAGAAAGCGTGTAGGATCTTTATCCTGTGCTGTCAAGTGTCACAATGATACACCTCGATGTGGACCTTTCTACTCCCATGGATCTATACACACAGTTGTCTTTTTCATCCCAGAGGCTCATGTCCATCTACTTAGGAGGTTTTTTTTTTAATATATATATATATTTTTTATTGATTTCAAAGAGGAAGGGAGAGGGATAGGATGTTACATTTAGTTATGCTTCATTGGTTGATTCTAGTATGTGACCTGACCAGAGGTGAACCCCACAACCGTGGAGTATTGGGATGACGCTCCAACCCACTGAGCTACCCCACCAGGGCCTACAGATGTTTTAAGTTGTAGGACACTGGCCAGGGTCTGCTGAGCGCTGGAGAGTTGCTGGATGGTATGAAAACACCTCGGCTCCCATTTCTTCCCTTTCTGAGCTCATGTCCACTTTCCCTGACTCCTTTCCTCACACACACAATGTTCTTCCTGCGGGCATTTTCCTCGTTTTAATTATAGATTCTTCTAAGCCTTCCTCCTGCTCTCAGCGTTGACTCTTCCAACCCGGTTCCTTCTCTCCCTTTGCTCTGGACTGTCCACTTCCAGTGACAGCTTTCCTCAAACGTCCAGTGAGCCTTCTTTCCCTGCGGAAATCTGAGAGTGAGACACTGTGTTGGGAGGATCAAGCCCCACTGACAGTGTCAGAAAAGCTTCCAATAAAAGTGTCTTAAACCAGCCGGGACTGGTTTGGCTCAATGGGTAGAGCGTCGGCTTGGGGACTGAAGGGTCCCGGGTTCGATTCCGGTCAAGGGCATGTGCCTTGGTTGCGGGCATATCCCCGGTGGGGGGTGTGCAGGAGGCAGCTGATCGATGACTCTCTCTCATCGATGTTTCTAACTCTCTATCTCTCTCCCTTCCTCTCTGTACAAAATCAATAAAATATATTTTTAAAAAAAAAAAAAAAAAAAAAAAAAGTGTCTTAAACCAGACTGAGGAGGGGTCTTCTCTGAGGCAGAGGTGGTCCAGGGCTGGTGAATGTTTATTCTGGGCCCCCCTTGTCCCTCCTAGGGTGCCAGTCTGCTAGGCTCCCTTCTGAAAGCAGAGTGGGGAGGGAGCCTATTTGCCCCAACCACAGAGCACAGATTTCCAGCAAACCCCCTCTTTTCAGTTTATTCCGCCTGTAATTCTCTCAGATAAACATCATCACTGTGCAGCGCTTACTGAGTCCTGGGCACGTGTGTTTTCACAGGTTCTCCTTACTCAGCCGGGCCAGCCAGGTGGTGTTGTCGATCGCGACTCACAGATAAGGATCCGAGAAGGCGGGCTGAGATGTGTGCCCACCCAGGGCCATGTGGCTGGGCACGGTGTGGGAAAGCCCCCCACACGCACACACACACACACACACACACACACACACACTCCCAAGGTCCAAGGCCAGGCCCTGGAGCAGGGAGTTCAGACTGCCAGCCAGACCTCTCTGTGCAGACATACATATCTCTGAGACCTGAGTTGACCAAAACTGAGGTCCAGAGTAAATAGATAAATAAATAAAACAAACCACTTAAGTCCTGGGGGCCTGAAGGACATTAGCTCTTTGGCCTCAGGACCAGGAGACTTCCTAAACATCTGAACCCCACAACCAGGAAGGACAAAGCCCCAGGTCAAGCGTGTTTGTCTGGCTGGACCGGTTACAGGCAAAGCCAGAGGCCAAAAACTAACTCTTTGCAACTTACAAAAGGCTGAGGCAATGCCTGGATAAGAAAGAGAAGAACACTAACTGGTTTGGCTCAGTGGATAGAGTGTCGGCCTGCAGACTGAAGGGTCCCAGGTTCAATTCTGGTAAAAAACATATATATTCATTGCAGGCACATCCCCAGTGGGGGGTGTGCAGGAGGCAGCTGATGGATGTTTCTCATCGATGTTTCTAACTCTCTGTCCCTCTCCTTTCTTCTCTGTGGGGAAAAAAAGAAAGAAAGAAAAGAGCACTAACTGGTTTGGCTCAGTGGATAGAGCGTCGGCCTGCGGACTGAAGGGTCCCAGGTTCTATTCCGGTCAAGGGCGTGTACCCTGGTTGTGGGCACATCCTCAGTGAGGTGTGTGCAGGAGGCGGATGATGGCTGTTTCTCTCTCATCGATGTTTCTGACTCTCTCCCTCTCCTTTCCTCTCTAATCAATAAAATATATATTTTTTTAAAAAGAGAGAGAGAAGACGATCCAAGGACGGGAAAAGGGCTGAAAGCGATTTAAAATGGAAAGTTCTTGTACAACCCCCCCCCCCCCCCCCCCACCCCCCGGGCATGGCTGAAAGGGAAGAGGGCCCGAAGGGAACTTACTCCCCGCGGCCAGCAGGTGGCGGTCACCGCCCGCTTCAGCTGCGCGCCGCGGGTGTCTGGCCGGAGGCGCCCTGAACCCAAGGATGCTGATGGGGCGACCCCGGCCCGGCGCCTTTGGGTGTCTGCAGGAAGCCTGTGTTCCAGGGCTGGGCGCGGCCTGTGATCGCAAAACGCGGGGAGAAAGCGCGTCCGCCCTCCAGGGGCTGCCGCAGACTTCGACGCGCGTCTCTAAGGCACGGAGAGCATGAGGGCCCCTCTCCTCACCCGGTCCCGCACCCCCTCCCCGCACTGCATTGCCACCCGCCCCCCTGCCCACGGCGCCCCTTCCCGCAGGCACAGCCCCTGCCCTTGCCCCGGGCTCCCACTGCAGCCGGTGTGAGCAAGCTGACCCGCGTTCCGCGGGGTTCCAGGTGGGCTTATGGGGGCCCCATAGATCACCATCACTGTCTGCTTCCCTGTGGGGAGCGCCCTGGCTCCCCACAAAGCTGGGGCAGCCAAAACCGGTTTGACTCAGTGGATAGAGCATCGGCCTGCGGACTGAAGGGTCCCAGGACGGATTCCGGTCAAGGGCATGTACCTTGGTTTCGGGCACATCCCCAGGAGGGGATGTGCAGGGGGCAGCTGATGGATGGTTCTCTCTCATAGATGTTTCTGTCTATCCCTCTCTCTTCCTCTCTGTAAAAAAATCAATAAGATATATTTTTCAAAAAGCTGGGGCAGGGGTCCAAGCCCTGGGCCCTCTCTGCTTGAGGAGGAAGGAGGAGCCAGGCCTGGGCCGGGGAGGGCCTCTCTCCCAGCCTTCACCCCCCAGCCAGGGGCTGAAGGTCCCCACAAGCCGCAGAGGCCTGGTTTTGGGGTCAGGGCCCTCCAGGCCGGTAAGGAGGCGTGCTTGGTGCTGGGCAGAGCGGGGAGGAGTGGTGGGCCTGACCCTTGGCTTCAGGCTCTGAGGCCTTGAGATCTGGTGCTGACCTGGACTTTTTGAAAATGACCAGGAACGCCCTGGCTGGTTTGGCTCAGTATAGAGCGTCGGCCTGTGGACTGGAAGGTCCCAGGTTCGATTCCCGTCAGGGGCATGGACCTCGGTTGCGGGCACATCCCCAATGGGGGGCGTGCAGGAGGCAGCTGATGGATGTTTCTGACTCTATTCCTCTCGCTTCCTCTCTGTAAAAAAAAAAAAAAATCAATAAAATATATATTTTACAAAGAAAGAAAATGACCAGGAACCAGTGAGGCTGGGTGGGGTGGGGTGCTCCATGGGTGAGTGGGTGCCCCGTGGCTGTGCAGAGCTGGGAACCAGTGACAGCACTGCAGCCTCCGAGGGCCCCTCTGTCCACTCCGGTCAGCCCTGTGCCCTCAGCCCTGGAGGGCGGTGGGTCTGGAGCACCAGGAGGTGGAGGCAGGGATGGGATGGAGCGGCCAGGGCCTGGGGGGCGCGGGCCCAGGGGCGCTCACACGGCCGGAGGAGGAGGGACCGGCGGACGCGCGCGGAGCCGGCCACACCCGCGCGGCCGGGGCCGGGAGACCCCGGGGCGCGCGCCCGCCTCCCCCGCGCGCTCCCCCGCCAGGTCCACGGCCCCGCGAGGGTTAAGGGGGCGGAGCGTGGGGCGGCCCCGCCGCCGCCGCCGCCGCGCCGGGTCCGAGCGCGCACGGGGCGCAGGGAGCGGGCGGGGGCGGCGGCGGCGGCGGGGGGCACGGCGCGCGGGGGGCGAGCGCGGGGAGCGGCGGCGGCGGCGGCGCAGCCCGCGTGACCCTCCACCCGCGCCCGCGAGCCCGCGTCCCCGCGAGGAGCCAGAGTCCGCAGCTGCGCCAGCCCCGCCGCAGGCAGGATGCGCTCCGGGTCGCTGCCGCCGCCGATGCTGCCGCTGCTGCTGCTGCTGCTGCTGCTGGCCGCCCGCGGGCCGCCGCCCTGCGCCGCGGACACCCCGACGCCCGCGAGCTGGGAGCCGCCGGCCGACGCGCCCTGGTGCCCCTACAAGCTGCTGCCCGAGGACCCCGAGGCGAGCGGCGCGGCGCGCCTGTGCTTCCGCACCGCGATGCGCGGCTTCCGCTGCGAGGAGCCCGGCTGCAAGGCGCACACCTCGGCCGGCGGCATGCTGCGCGCCAGCGTCCTGCGCAACCGCAGCGTGCTGGTGCAGTGGCGCCTGCCGCCCGGCCGCGCGCGCCGCCTGCGCTCCCTGCTGCTCGAGTGCTCGTGGCGCGGCGCCTACACGCGCTTCCCCTGCGAGCGCGTGCTGCTCGGCACCTCCTGCCGCGACTACCTGCTGCCCGAGGTGCACGAGGGCGTGCGCTACCGCCTGTGCCTGCAGCCGCTGCCCGTGCACAGCCAGCGCGGCATCGATGACATCCCGCCCCCCGAGTGCGTGGAGTTCGTGGCGGAGCCCGGCGGCATGCGCGACATCGTGGTGGCCATGACCGCCGTGGGCGGCTCCATCTGCGTCATGCTGGTGGTCATCTGCCTGCTGGTGGCCTACATCACCGAGAACCTCATGCACCCGTCCTTCGGGCGCCCGGGCCTGCGCCGCCAGCCCTGAGCCCGAGGATGGCCGCGGGGGGCCCCTGTCCCCCGCCCTGCCCCGTCCCTCCCCCCTCACCCCCCCCCCAGGCTGTCCGCGCAGGGCCGCTGCGGATGGAGATGGAGATGGAGAGCGCGCAGGCCTGCGCCGCCACCTGGGACTCATCCCGCCTCTTCACCATCGAGCTGCCCGCTCCCCGGAATCCAGTGCGAGACTGGCCCTGGGGCCTGCGGAGCGGGGTGCGGGCCGCCACCGGGCCCCTCCCGTCCTCCCGAGGCCTTTGCAGGGACTGACTGTGAGGACAGAGAGCGCCTCCTAGCGAGGGCCGCTGGCATCACCCCCTGGGACGTCGCCTGCACCTCCAGCCTGTGCGTTGCTTGGTTCCTGTGCGCTTTGCTGCTCCAGGCCCCCGGGCCTTGTCCGCTCTGCACCCCTCCCCGTGGCTTAGGTTAGCCTTGTGCCTTAGTGTCCCCGGCCCTTCCCGTGCGGCCCGGAGGGAGCTGTGGCCCCCGGAGGGGCGGGCTGGGCTGTGTGTGCGTGCTTTGGGCCAGAGTCCCCCCTCAGGCTGTGCAGGAGCCTCGGTAGACAGTGCCCGTAGACAGTGCCCGTGGTGTGTCCCTGCGGGGGGTGTCTGACCAGCTGGGAGCCCGGATGGATTCGGTTCAGCAGGTGGGGCCTGGCCTCCAGCTCCTCTGACCTTGGGGGGGGGGAGCTGGCTGGGAGCCCCCCTTTTCATTTTGCAGTGCTGCCTCTGAGGAGGACTTCCTGTGGTAAGTGGGGGCAGAGGGCTGGGAAGAGGGGGCCTGGTCGGAAGGGGCAGCTTTGGGCTCAGAGGGCAGACGAGATGCCAGCCCAGCCCAGCTGGACCTCGCACTGAGTCTGCATCATGATGGACAGGACGCCCCCCCCCTTGCGATGGGGGGGCCGGGAGCCCAGGATGGGGCGGGGATGCGGCTGCCCTCACACCCACTGTGGTGGGAAGGCTGGCCGTGCCCCTCTCCGGACAGACTGAGTGCCCTCGCCGAGGGTTCTTCCTGTGCTGACCACCTGGCAGTGCCGGGTGCCGGGAGGGGTGCGGTGTGGCGTGCCTGCCCTCCGTGGGAGCCCCCGACTGTGACCCCCTGGATCTGGCACTTCTGGAGTCACTGTGGCTAACCCTTCGCACCCTTGCACTCACCCTGGCGGCTACCGGCAACCCCAGTGCCCGCTCCCTCCCGCTGTCCTCGCTGTGGTGTGCTGCTGGTCAGGTGTGAGCCTCGTGCCCATGTCTAAACATCCATCATCTTTAGACTCAAACCGCTGCCTGTGTGCTTATTTGGGAGGGGGAAGAGGCGGAGGGAGAGAGGCAGTGGGGGAGAGGGGGAGAGGGAGGGGAAAGAGGCAGAGAGAGAGAAGGAGTGGGGGAGAGGGGGAGAGGGAGTGGGGGAGAGGGGGAGAGGGAGGGGAAAGAGGCAGAGAGAGAGAAGGAGTGGGGGAGAGGGGGAGAGGGAGGGGAAAGAGGCAGAGAGAGAGAAGGAGTGGGGGAGAGGGGGAGAGGGAGTGGGGGAGAGGGGGAGAGGGAGGGGAAAGAGGCGGAGGGAGAGAGGGGGGGGGAGAGGGAGTGGGGGAGAGGGGGAAAGGGAGGGGAAAGAGGAGGGAGAGAGGGAGGGGAGCTGGGGATGGGGAAGGGAGCTGGGCCCCTTTCCTCCAGGCTCCTTCAAGCTCCTGGTCAGGTCCGGCCAGCCCCAGGCTGGTGTCCAGCCCCTGCCCTTGAAGCTGCACCATCAAACGGGAAAACACTGGCCCTGCAGTGCGGGGTGTGGGCGTTGGGGGGAAGCGCCTGCTGCAGTAAGCAGCAGCCAGGCTCCCTGAACACTGCGGCTGTGACAGGCAGCTTGTGGGCGGCTCTAGGAAGGGCCCCTCCCTACCTGCCCCCCATGCAGTGCCAGAGCTGGGAGGGGGGCGGGGAGGACAGAGGGTGACCCTGGGGCTCCTGTGTGACATGCATTAGCTCGCCACCCACCCTCCCTCTGGGCCCTCCCCCACCTCGTCTGTCCTTGAGATCCTGGAGCTGCTGTGACCCTGAGGAGCAAAATCCAGACAGGAAGAGGGGGAGTTTGGGGGAGCAGGCTGTGGAGTGACTCATCCTCCGGAGGAGGAGGGAGGAGGGGTGCAGCCATGTCTGGGGGTGGGCGGGCGGGGCTCCACTCCAGCAGCCATGGCGAGCCTGTCTCAGGCCACCTGTGAAGGGCACCCGTGTCTTCCTCAGGGGCAGGGGGGCCGGGGCTGGGACCACAGGGCTCCCTGCAGTCTGCCCTCCTTCCCTGCTGGCCCTCCGCCTGATTGGGGCCCTGGTTATGGGCCTGAGCCCACCCCGCTAGAGCCACAGACCTGTCCAATTGCCAATGGGGAGGCCGGCCCCCCTGCCCCGCACCCTTTTCCAGAGGTGGGGGTGCAGGGCTGGAGGCACCGCCTGCCCGGTGTGGTCAGCGGGTGAGCCGGGCCTGGGAGATGGCCTGCACCTGGTGGCCAGCCAAATCCTCATGCTCCCAAGCTCAACACCCCCCAGAGGGTCCATCCTCCCAGGCTCCATCCCAGCCCCTCTGGTGCTCCTGGTCCAGGCCCCTCCAGCCCCCCTCCTCCCTCCGATCACTGCCTCTGTCTTCTGTGGCCGCTCCCACTGGGGGGCTGCACTGGAGGTGACCTGCTGCTCCCCGTGAACCCCGGCTTCCTGCGCCCTAGGCACCCTGGAGGCGGGCCCGGGGCCTCACCGGTGGTGGAGGCCTCGCCTGCCTGGCTGGTGCCTGAAGACACAGAAGCTCATTCTCGGACGCGGATGGAAATAACCGCCCAGGTGAGGAACGCCGAAGGGCCAGGCCGCCTTCCAGCCCCGTCTCCTCCTCTGTCAGGTGGAGACAGGAATGGGCCCGGGTCACAGACCTACGAGCAACGGCCATGGGAGCCCGCCACCGGGCCATCGTCACTGCTGTCCCTGCGGCCGCCTGAATGCCCTCCAGGCCGATGCCCCGGCTGTGCCCCAGCCTCACCTGCCGGAGCTCTAGGCCGGGGGGCCCGTCCTCAAACCCCCCCACGATGGCCAGACTCCCTGCTCACCCCCAACCTGGTCCACAGGCACGTCCCTCACCAGTCATTCTGTGGACACGGGAGGGACACATGGCCAGCTCTGGGCCCTGACCGGGCACACAAGCCCACAGCCCAGGCATGGGGCCCTGACTGGGAATCGAACCTTCACCTCCTAGTTCACAGGTCAACGCTCAACCACGGAGCCACACCGGCTGGGCCACCGGTGGTCAGTCTGTCTTCTGGGCATCTGTCTGGCATGCCTTCCTCCCCTGTAGGGATGCGACTGTGCTTCTTACCCTCTTTTTTCTGACACTAAGTCTGAGGGATGATTTAACTCCGCTGCCCCCTACACCAGGAGGCGGGATGTAGACCTGCCGGCTCCTCCCTCCTGCTGGGTCCCCTGGTTCACCCTGATGGTCTGGGCTCTGGCCACATGGGCTGTGTGTGTGGGGGGGCTACTCAGGCCTCCAGGGAGAAGCTGGTTTCATCAGCGTGGACGTGAGGACCTCACAGTCCCAGGGGCTAACCTGGAGGGGCTGGGGGACACAGCACCGCAGGCAGGATTAGGGACAAACAGGAAGGGACAGGCAGGGCTGGGGAGCTGCTGGTAGCCCTGCCTGGTGGACACGTGGTTTGGCCACTTCAGCCTGAGTCTAGAGGGCCTCCCTCACCTCACCCCGTCTCCTGGGGCTGGGCGGGTGTCCTCGGTGATGATGGACAAGGGGGCACGGTGGCCCCACTCCAGAGAGGGGACCAGGCTGCACCTGCTGAGGACAGGATGCGAGAGCCACATCCAGAGGTGTGAGGCTCTTGAAATCCCACTCCAGTGGCCCCCGTCCTGCTCACTTGGGTTCTAGTCTGACGGATTCTCCCCTGCGGCTCCCTTCTTCACCATCAGCAGCCACAGATGCGTCCTCACCCTCATGTTCTATCATTTACCTCGAACGTGGGATTGCTGACCTTGCTATTTTTCCTTGATACCACATCTTTTTATTTTTTAATATATTTTTGTATTGATTTCTATTTTATTTTAAAATATATTTCTTTATTGATTTCAGAGAGGAAAAGGGAGGGAGAGAGAGATAGAAATATCAACGATGAGCCCTAACCGGTTTGGCTTAGTGGATAGAGCTTCGGCCTAAAGACTGAAGGGTCGCGGGTTCGATTCCGGTCAAGGGCATGTACCTTGGTTGTGGACACATCCCCAGTAGGGAGTGTGCAGGAGGTAGCTGATGGTTGTTTCTAACTCTCTATCCCTCTCTCTTCCTTTCTGAAAAAAAATCAATAAAAAATATTTTTTTAAAAAAAGAAAAAGGAAACCATCAATGATGAGAATCATTGATCGGCTGCCTCCTGCATACCCCCTACTGGGGATCGAGCCGACAACCCAGGCATGTGCCCTTGGCTGGAATCAAACCTGGGACCCTTCAGTCTCTATCCACTGAGCCAAACTAGTTAGGGCTGTTATTGCTTTTTAGAGAGAAAGGAAGGAGAGAAACATCCATGTGAGAGTGAAACATCCATCAGTTGCCTTCTACACGCCCCCTATGGGGATGGAGCTTGCAACCTGGGCATGTGCCCTGATAGGGAATCAAAATGGCAACCTTTCGGTGCACGGAACAACGCCCACCCAAGGGAGCCACACCAGCCAGGGTTCTGAGAGACCTCCACATCACAGTGCACACAGTGCATTTCCCGTTGCTGCACAGAGCGCCCCTCCCCGTGCCAGTCCTCACTCTGGGAGGACACAGGCAGCTGCCCTGAGATCACGGTGTTCCGTGAAGACCCTCCATCGTCCCCCTGGGGACCTTTAGGAGTCCCTCTTGGTGGGGGACGATGGGTCTCCGGTGTGCTGGCTTCACTCTGCCAATCTTGCCAGTGCATTCTTCACGGCTAAGGCAGCGGCACCCCTCCCTTTCCCAGGAGCACCGGCGGCATTCAGCTCCCTCGCTCTCGCCCACCCGTTGCCTGAGTAGCAGAAACCCAATTATCATTTGAATTTCCTTTTTTCTAGTTACGGGGAGGTTGGGCACCACTCCCTGTTCTCGTTAGTCACACTCACGGCCCCTCGTCCAAAGGCATATTCAGGTCTTCTGTTCATTTTTCCGTTGCTGTCTCTCTTCCCTCTTGATTTTCAGGAGTTCCATGAATACTCTGGATCAGCACCGTCCAATAGGACTTCCTGGAATTGTTCTTATCGATACCGTATTAGTTCCTAAGGGCCGCTGGGAGGAATCACGAACACAAGAGGCGGCTGAAGACACCAGGAATGTGTTCTCACAGGCGACAGGGTGGGGGTGGGGTGCGGCTGGAGGCTCTGCAGGGAAAGCTGCCTCCTGCCCCTCTCCATCTTCAGGACCTGCTGGCCACCTCTAGGTCCTTGTCTGTGGACACATCACTCCAGTGTCCGAGGACGCAGAGCCAACGGTCTTCTCGTCCCAGCATCCCCTCTGCCTCTGGTCCCAACGGCCTCCTTCCTCTTACAAAGATACCACTCACTGGATTAAGACCCACTCGAGTGAATGTATGACCTCATCTTAATTTGATGACATCAGCAAAGACCTCTATTTCCAAATGAGGTCACGTTCACCAGGACCAGGGTCCGGATAGGAACACAGTCTTTTGGCGAACACAATGCCATCTCCAATAGACACTGGTCATCATGGGCATTAAGGATTTGAAATGTGGCTGCCGAAAATATATCTTTGTTAATTTCAGAGGAAGGGAGATGGAGAGAAAGATAGAAGCATCAATGATGAGAGAGAATCATTGAACCGCTGGCACCTGCACATCGCCCTCCACACACACACACCCCCCCCCCACTGGGGATTGAGCCTGCAACTGGGGCATGTGCCCTTGACCGGAATAGAACCCGGGACCCTTCAGTCCACAGGCCGACGCTCTACCCACTGAGCTAAACCAGCAAGGGCGCATCGTAAGTGTTTAACTTAGGTAGCTACATATGCCCAGTGGGGGCTGTGTCAAACACAATCCTAGACATGCACATCTGACTGCTTTAAACGTTGTACATGTGCTGCTAACACTGCCGTGTCGTGTTGAAAGGAAATCCTTACTTTTGATAACCTCTGACCTGTGTGCTTTTTTTTTCTTTCTTTTTAATGTGTTCTTACTAGAGGCCCAATGCAGAAGATTCGTGCAAGAAGAGGCCTTCCTTCCCCTGGCTGCCAACACCGCCTTCGCTCTGGCCAGTCGCCCTTCTGCCTTCCCACGCT